TGGATTTTCTGTAAAACAGTAGCAAAGTCCGAAGCAGCACCCTTCACCTCTGTGGTCAGGGCCACAGGGGAACCCGCACCGAGCCGGGCAGGAGCCGGCGGCTGTTGTCATGGGAACTGGCATCCCAAGGCCTGGCCTGCCTCCTGCCTCCTTTATCGTGCTATGATGGTCACTGCCCCCTCTGCGAAGCACCTGCTGTGTGTGGGGGTTTGTGCCAAGCTCTTTCCATGCACTGTGTAATCCGTGTCATAACCACACGATGACACATGATGTGTGCGTGTGTGTGTGTGTGTGTGTTTTCTAGATATTAATCTTACGTTACAGAGGTTGGAACCAGGCAGCCCACCTTCAGAGCCCTCGTCTTAACGATGACCCTACGTTGAAATAAAATGTGGAAACCGCCCACAGACATACATCGTGGTGGTTATGGGTCATAGGAGCTGCCCTCCTGCCTCTTGGAAGCAACACGACCTTGGGAGCAACGTGACCTTGGAAGCGACGTGACCTTGGGAAGCAACGTGACCTTGGGAAGCGGCGTGACCTTGGGAAGCGACGTGACCTTGGGAAGCGGCGTGTTTGCTCCGTGCTGGTTTCCTCACCTCAGAACCTCGAGTGACAACTTCACAGAGCAGTTGTGAGGATTAAAGGAGGGGCCTGAACCCCGAGCACCCCGAACCCCCGAGCACCCCGAACCCCCGAGCACCCCAAATCCCCAGCATCCTGAACCCCCGAGCGTCCTGAACCCCCGAGCGTCCTGAACCCCCCCGAGCGTCCTGAACCCCCCCGAGCGTCCTGAACCCCCGAGCGTCCTGAACCCCCAAGCGTCCTGAACCCCCGAGCGTCCTGAACCCCCAAGCGTCCTGAACCCCTGAGCACAGGCCCTGGCCCGGGCAGGTTCCATTGGGGGTTTGTTAGCACAGGAGTTCTGGCCTTCAGCCCCCGGGCTGCTTCCCTCCAGCCATTCTTCCGCATGCTAAGAACTAAAGCGAAGGGATTCGGACCCAGATGGAGCATGGGTGCCAGGCACTGTGCCCAGCTGCCCGTGAGGGCCAGCAAGGTGCCTATGTCCGGTGAGGTACTAGGATTCTGGGCCCTGGATCCTGCAGTGCGATGATCTTCCCTTCCCCCATCTGTCCCCGCCCTGCTCCACCCTCAGCCACCTTCAGGGTCCCCACCCAAGGGTCAGGGCAGAGCAGGGCAGGGCTGAGCGGGAGGCAGGGGGAGGGGGTCATTATCGCCGGCAGCACAGGGCTGGAGACAGAGTTAAACCTTCTTATCAGTTCCCTGGGCTTGTGCTGAAATGTCCAGCCCAGCCCAGCTCTGAGGCACAGGCTCTGGGGAGCAGGGCCCTGCGGTTGCCGGCCAAGCCTGTCTCCTCTGGAATGGCCCAGGACCAGGGATAGGGGCAGCGGCCTGGGCACCAGAGAGTCACCAGACTGACTGCGCAGTGCGATCCCACGCAACCACTTCCCTGTCTGGGCCCCAGAGTCCCTGTTTGTGAAACTGGGGGCTGGGGGCGGCTGGATAAGGCAGCCCAGGCCCCTTCCTCCCCTAGAGAGTTGGGATCCTGTGACCCCTGGGAGGCGGCTGTGACTGTCTGCCCTACAGACGAGGAAGCTGAGGCTGCACACAGGACGGTGACTTCTCCACAGCACACTAGCTGGGCACAGAGAGGAATGACGGGGCTGAGCTCCACCCCACGTGCCCATGAAGCCTGTGAGCCCCCCAGAAGGTGCATGGAGGAAAGGCGTGGAGATGGGGGCGCTGCTCTGGGCACCCCATCCCAGGGCCGAACCCCTTTCTTCAGGTCCTAGGGGCCAGCTGGGGACCTCTCAGAGGAGCCCTAGACAGGCAGGCGCCTGGCAGCTTTGCAGGCCTGGGGGTCGCTCCTCGGCTGCAGCCCGCAGAAGGCAGAGATGGCTTCCTGGGCGTGTGGACAGTGGGCCCCACAACTGGGCTCTGATAACACCCCTCCCCTTATCAGTGGGTCAAGGACTGGGCGGGGTGCATCTGAGAATCAAGAGTACATTCCGCAGAAGCAAGGAAGGGGCAGAAAAGAAAAGTGGGTGCAGCTGAACCGAGGCCTCCCAAAGGCAAAGAATCCCCGAGGGGGCCCCGGCTTAGGGGAGACTGTGGAGTGGTGGGGAGTCAACGTAAGGGACAGTCGAAGCCTCACTTAACCCTCCAGGAGCAAAGGGGCCTGGTCCAAGCGACTTTCCTGAAGCAACCTTAGAAATCCTGGGCTGGGGCTGGGCGCGGTGGCTCACGCCTGTATTCCCAGCCCTTTGGGAGGCTGAGGTGGGACGATCTCTTGAGTCCTGGAGATCGAGACCAGCCTGGCTAACATGGTGAAACTCTGTCTCTACTAAAAATACAAAAATTAGCCAGACACGGTGGTGCACACCTGTAATTCCAGCTACTCAGGAGGCTGAGGCACGAGAATCGATTGAATCCTGGAGGAGGAGGTTGTAGTGAGCCGAGACTGCACCACTGCACTCCAGCCTGGGCAACAGAGCAAGACTCCTTTTCAAAAAAAAACAACAGAAATCCCAGGCTGGGAGGGACAGAGAGACCTAGGACCTGCATTTGGAGCAGGAGGCCATTGCCCTCAGAGGGGTCATGGTCTCCTCTGACACTTTGAGGAAAATTATGTCTGCCCAGTGAGGAAACTGAGGCCCAGCGTGTGAGGGGAGATGACTCACAGCTGGCTTAGGCCTGAAAGGCTCTTGCCTGAGGCTGAGTGAGTCAGTCCCTGCATACCTGGAGGCGAGGACCAGTAGGTGCCATCCTGAACCAAGGGACAGGGTGGCAGAGGAAGGGCAGGGCCTCCCCAGATACCGGGCCTGGCCTTCTTTGCCCCTGTGGGCTGGGACTCCAGGCAGGCACCACTTCTTCAACCACCCAGTTCCATAATTCACATCCGGCCTTGGCCCAGGCTCCTGGACCCCCTCCTCTGTGGCCCAGGCCAGGCAGGTGGGTGAGGCTGGGCCTACAGGGAAGGGCCTGAAGCCTCCAGGGCCAGTTGTGGCAGGACCCAGTGGGCTGGAGATCTGGAGGGACGTCCTGCATCGCCAGCGGCCAAGAGGACAGGGGCTGGGCCAGCATCCCCTGAGAATGCGCCCACACCCCCGCACACAGACACACACGCCTCCACGGTGCCTGGGGGTGCTCATCTGAACCCTTGGGGGACATCCTTCCGTCCCCACCTTTCTCCACACCCTGGCTTCACCCGGATACAAAGGTGGCAGGAAGCAAACAGTGTGGCAGAATCACTGGGACACTTGATAAAAATTCCTACCCTCCTCCGACACAGAGAGCCCGAGCCACGGGAGCCTGGAGAGACTGAGCCACGGGAGCCTGGAGAGGCCGGGCCACGGGAGCCTGGAGAGACTGGGCCACGGGAGCCTGGAGAGGCCGGGCCACGGGAGCCTGGAGAGACCGGGCCACGGGAGCCTGGAGAGACTGAGCCAGAGGAGCCTGGAGAGGCTGAGCCAGAGGAGCCTGGAGAGGCCGAGCCACGGAAGCCTGGAGAGGCCGGGCCACGGAAGCCTGGAGAGGCCGGGCCACGGAAGCCTGGAGAGGCCGGGCCACGGAAGCCTGGAGAGACCGAGCCACGGGAGCCTGGAGAGACCGAGCCACGGGAGCCTGGAGAGACCGAGCCACGGGAGCCTGGAGAGGCCGGGCCACGGGAGCCTGGAGAGGCCGGGCCACAGGAGCCTGGCAGAAGGGGGAGGAGCCTGGCAGAAGGGGGAGGAGCCTGGCAGAAGGGGGAGGAGCCTGGCAGAAGGGGGAGGAGCCTGGCAGAAGGGACTTCCCTTAAGAAAGGGGCCCGGGTCAGTCTCGAAGGTGGTCCTTGGAGAACCTCTGAGTGGAGTGTCAGCTGTGTGGTGGAGAAAATAATCATGATGATACTGGCTGCACCCATTGCGTGCCTACCGTGTACCTGTGTTCCCGATGTTTTGCACAAAACACCTCATTCTAGCCTCTGACAACCTTCCAGAAAGGTGACATTATTCCCAGTCCCACGGTCACATTCTGGCCACTAGCAGAGCCACAGTTAGATGTGCCCCCAGCCCCCCACCCCAGGGGCCTGAAGATGTGTCGGGCCTGGGACCACCCCAGGGGCAGGACCAGAACCAGCTCCTGACTTCCCACCAGGAAAGAGGGACGAGGGTGAGACACAGCTGCAGGAAAGATGCAAGGCCGGGCTGTGGTGGAGAACGCCCCCACCCCTCCACTTCCCCAGGACGCCGCAGCCGGGAGGCGGCTGCTCCCAGCCTCAGGGCCCCAGAAGCCATAGGGCCAGCCCCAGCCCCGCCCCGGAGGCTCCAGTGAGGCAGGGCTGAACCGGGCCAGTCTGGCGAATCCCTGGGCTGCGGGTGCCCCCTGCAGCCAGACAAAGGTGTGACTGGGCAGAGGCCAGGTCTTCCCAGCCTCGGACACCCTGACATGGTGGTTTTCTCTCCCATCACCTCCAGCTGTGGCTGGGAGCTGGGCCAGTCGGCTGCTGCAATTATTGTTGCCTTTTTTTTTTCTTTTCTTCTTTTTTTTTTTTTTGAGACAGAGTCTCACTCTGTCACCCAGACTGGAGTGCAGTGGCCGGATCTCAGCTCACTGCAACCTCCATCTCCCGGGTTCAAGCGATTCTCCTGCCTCAGCCTCCTGAGTAGCTGAGACTACAGGTGCCCACCACTGCTCCTGGCTAATTTTTATATTTTTTACTAGAGATGGGGTTTCACTATGTTGGCCAGGCTGGTCTTGAACTCCTGACCTCAGGTGGCCTCAGCTTCCCAAAGTGCTGGGATGACAGGAATGAGCCACCGCGCCCGGCCTGTTGTTGCCCAGTTGTAAGGAGGAGAGAGATGTCAGGTGTCTGGTCTAAGGTCACAGAGCCAGGTGGTGTCGGGTCCTGAACTCCGCAGATCCTGGTTCCTCCGTCCTGGCCCGTTAAAGCCTCTCCAAACCCTCACCCGGGACAGACACGCGCAGCGTGACAGCTGTAAGCGGCAGGCAAGGGTATTTAATGGGCATCGAGGGTCTTGGCACTCCCACCACCACTCCCACCAGGGGAGCGGCAAAGGGCAGGGCCCAGAAAGGCTTCCGCTCAGGGCTCAGGAAGTGGGAGGTAAGGAGGTGGGCTCAGGAGGCGGAATCAGGAGGCGGAATCAGGACGTGGGTTCAGGAGGTAGATTCAGGAGGGGGTTCGGGAGGCGGAATCAGGAGGTGAGTTCAGGAGATGGATTCAGGAGATGGGCTCAGGAGGCGGAATCAGGAGGCGGAATCAGGAGGTGGGTTCAGGAGGTGGGTTCAGGAGGCGGGTTCAGGAGGCGGAGCTCAGGTGCTGGTGTTGTGGGCATCTCCGCGGGTGCACGGGGCAAGAGGAAGGCTGAACCTCGCCTGGGGACTCCTGCGGCAGCAGGGGGGGCACTGGGCCGGTGTGGAGCTACACACAGAACAGGGGCATGAGCGCCCTCACCAAGACCCCGCCCCACAGCTCGTGCCAGGTCTCCTGCCCCGGGAGGCAAAGGGAGGGGCTGGCACAACAGAATGTGCTGCAGAGGCCCCGGGGCACAGGGGTTGCCCAGCCCCACGGCAGCCTCCTGATCCTCCACCTCCCATCTCCGTGTCCCATGGGGCTTCAAGTCAACACTTCCTTTAAATAAAAGAATCTCCCGCCACTCCCACCCCTTGGCCAAATTATAAACCATGAGACTCATCTCAGTCCTAAGAGTGACTGGCCCAAGGCCAATCAGCACATTAGTGGCGTAGTCATCATTCATTTGTCTTTGTGACTCCAGGGACCCCTGGGTATATTCTAGAGGCCTGGGTCCTCCTTTCAACGCCCCTCCAGGGTAGGACCCTCCTCCGCCAATCTCGGAGCGCTCCAGTTTCAGGGTCAGCCCAACCTCAGGGGCCTCCCCCCACACCCTCACAACCTGCAGACACCCCTCTCCCGACACGCACAGACACACAGGCGCACACACGCTTCTTACCTCCTGGGGAGCTGCAGCCTCACCACACCCTGGGGGACCCTTTCCCGGTTGGTAGGTACCCAGAGGTTGGGGCTGGGGGCCAGGGCGGGCTGGGGGGTTGAGAGCAGAGGGGGACATTGGAGGGTGCAGGTTCGGCACGGATGTCCAGTCAGGCCCCACCACTCTCTGCAGCTGGACAGCTTCAGCCATGTACCTGGGGAGCAACAGGCCAGATGCAGGGGCCACTGCCCTCCCTGGTCTGGCTCCCCTGCCCGCCTCAGCTTAGGAAGCACGCAGCCCAGGGCTTGGCTCTGCAGGAAGCTGAGGCCTCATCCAGGATGCAGCACCCCTCTACGCCATAACGGGGCAAGAACCCACAGAGCCAAGGAAGTAGGGAGGCCCCAGAGCCCCCAGCGCCCCGGAGAAAACCCCAGAGGAGCAGGCACTGTGAGTGTGAGCGCCCGGGAGCTGTGGAAAGGAGCCGGGGAACCCCCCTCTGCCCCACCCCCAGGGCTCACCAGTTGGGCCTCTGGGTTTTGCCAACTCACTTGGGTCCCAGTGGTGCACAAATTGCTAAATACCAGTTGCTGGCACAGCCCTGGTCGAAGGGGTTGTAGCCGTGAAGGTGTCTGCACTGGAGGGGGATGGAGACCGGAAGAGGAGCTCAGAACCAGCAGGAATGGCTGGGCCATCGCCCAGTGGCCCTCCCTGAGCTGGTCAGCTAGCCAGCGCTCGGTCCAGGCAGCAGCAAGCTGGAGGCTGGGAAAATGAGAGCATCCCCCGACCACTGCCCCATCCTCCTCCTCTTGGTCTCCACTGGCCACACGCATCCTCCTGCTACCTCCTTCCAGATACTGAATGTCACTGTCTGGAAGGTCAGTTGAGTGAGGCCCAGTCATATTTCCCTAACCGTGATCACATGGCCCAGGAAAATCTGGGCTAAAAGCCTTGAACACACAATGCGGTAAAGGCCGAGTCCTCCCCTGGGCACTCTTGACCTTGACCAGGTTTTCTCCCTCCTCTCTCCCCTTCACCCGCTCACTCTACCCATCAGCCTCACCCCCTCCCGAACTCCCCCTCCTCCCCAGGGCAGGCTGGGCCTCACCTGACTTCAAAAGCCTTCGCTGTCACGTTTTGTCACTGAAAGTGGCCCAGCAGCATCTCTGCCCACCACCAACTCCCCCGTGTCCCATGCCCCCCGCCCCTGCCGCAAAGGCTGAGATTTTCAACACCGTCCTCCACCAAAGGAACCAGGACTCCATGCGAGGACAGCCGGCACTCACTCCAGGAGGAAAACTCTGGACGGCTCCAGAATGCTCACTGTCGCCACTCACTGTCACCACAGGGCAACACGCATCCTCACACTATCTGAGATTCTGCCGACTTTAAGGTATTTAAAGCATGTAAAAGCAGCGTATTGGCTGGGGGAGATGGCTCACGCCTATAATCCCTGCACTTTGGGAGACCAAGGCAGATGGATCACTTGAGGTCAGGAGTTGGAGACCATCCTGGCTAACACGGTGAAACCCCATCTCTACTAAAAATACAAAAAATTAGCCGGGCGTGGTGGCGGACGCCTGTAATCCCAGCCACTGGGGAGGCTGAGGCAGGAGAATCGCTTGAACCCGGGAGGTGGAGTTTGCAGTGAGCCAAGATCATGCCACTGCACTCCAGTCTGGGAGGCAGAGCGACACTCCAGCTCAAAAAAAAAAAAAAAAAGAAAAAGAAACTGGTATTGTAGTAGTCATTTAGAAGACTTTAATTAAATGTATGGAATTTTGGCCAGGCATGGTAATTCACACCTGTAATCCCAGCGTTTTGGAAGGTGGAGAAAGGAGGATCTCTTGAGCCCAGGAGTTCAAGACCGACCTGAGCAACATAGTGAGACTTTCATCTCTAAAAAGATAAAAACAGTTAGGTGGCTGTAGCATGTGCACCTCTAGTCACAGGTGCACTGGGAGCTGGGATGAGAGGACCCCTTGAGCCTAGGAGTTCGAGGTTGCAGTGAGCTATGATTACGCCACTGCACTCCAGCCTGAATGACAGAGTGGGACCCTGTCTCTAGGAAAACTAAAAATATATTGACAGAATTTTAAAATTTGTGTGTATATATATATATATATTTTTTTGTTTTTTTTGTTTGTTTGTTTGTTTGTTTTTTTGAGACAGTCTCGCCCTGTCGCCCAGGCTGGAGTGCAGTGGCGCGATCTCGGCTCATTGCAAGCTCCGCCTCCCAGGCTCACGCCATTCTCCTGCCTCAGCCTCCCCAGTAGCTGAGACTACAGGCGCCCACCACCACGCCCGGCTAATTTTTATGTTTTTAGTGGAGATGGGGTTTCACCATGTTAGTCAGCATAGTCTCGATCTCCCAATCTCGTGATCCGCCCGCCTTGGCCTCCCAAAGTGCTGGGATTACAGGCGTGAGCCACCGTGCCTGGCCTTTTTTTGTTTTGCTTTGTTTTGTTTTTGTTTGTTTGTTTTGAGACGCAGTTTTGCTCCTGTTGCCCATACTGGAGGGCAATGGTGCGATCTCGGCTCACTGCAAGCTCCGCCTTCCAGGTTCAAGTGATTCTCCTTCCTCAGTCTCACAAGTAGCTGGGATTACAGACACCTGTCACCACACCCGGCTAATTTTGGTATTTTTAGTAGAGACGGGGTTTCACCATATTGGCCAGGTTGCTCTCAAACTCCTGACCTCAGGTGATCCGCCTGCCTCAGTGAGACAGTCTGGCTCTGTTGCCCAGGCTGGAGTGGAGGGATCATAGGTCCTTGCAAACTCAAACTCCTGGGCTCAAGGGATCCTCCCACCTCTATCTCCCAAGTAGCTGAGACTACAGGCATGCACGACTACGCCCAGCCAATTTTTAATTTTTTTGTAGGAATGGGGTCTGGCTATGTTGCCCAGGCTGGTCTTGAACTCCTGGCCTCAAGAGATCTTCCCACCTTAGCCTTTCAAAGGGCTGGGATTACAGGTGTGAGTCACTGTACCCGACATTAGGGAAATAAATTTTGATTAGATGTATATAAGGCATAGAAAATGTTGATTGTATATGAGGCATAGAAAAAAGTTGATTGTATATGAGGCATAGAAAAATGCTTAAAGGAATGATGATCTTTAATAAATTCGTAAGACTGACCAATACTTTTTTTTTTTTTTTTTTGAGACAGAGTCTCACTCTGTCGCCCAGGCTGGAGTACGGTGGCACAATCTTGGCTCACTGCAACCTCCACCTCCCAGGTTCAAGCGATTTTCCTGCCTCAGCCTCCCGAGTAGCTGGGATTATAGGTGCCCACCACCACGCCCGGCTAATTTTTGTATTTTTAGTAGAGATGGGGTTTCACTGTTGTTGGGCAGGCTTGTCTCGAACTCCTGACCTCGTGACCCACCTGCCTCGGCCTCCCAAAGTGCTGGGATTACAACCGTGAACCACCGTGCCCAGCTAAGACTGACCAATACATTTGTACCTGCCTCTCCCACGAAAGATGCTTTCAGATATGAATGAAAACAACAGCTCTTGGCTGGGCGCAGTGGCTCACACCTGTAATCCCAGCACTTTGGGAGGCCGAGGCGGGTGGATCACTTGAGGCCAGGAGTTCGAGACCAGCGTGGCCAACATGGCAAAACCCCGTCTACTAAAAATGCAAAACTTAGTCGGGCATAGTGGCAGGTGCCTGAAATCCCAACTACTTGGGAGGCTGAGGCATGATAATTGCTTGAACCTAGGAGGTGGAGGTTGCAGTGAGCCGAGATCACACCACTGCACTCCAGCCTGGGCGACAGAGTGAGACTCTGTCTCAAAAAATATAAAAAGGAAGAAACCAACAGCTCTGAAGCACTCAGCCCCCCTCACTGTCTCCACACCCGGGGCTCCTGCTCTGATTCTGTGTCTAAAACTGCCTGACACTCCGCAGGACCAAAGCCAGAGTGGGCAGCTTCTTGCTCCATCTCCCACCCAACTCCCCTCGCCCCATTCCCCGCCAGGGATCAGGGCTTCCGGCTTCTCTCTCTGTCTCTGCGTGTCTCCCAAAGTGTTATGGATTCTTTTGGTGGTTGGTTCGCTCACTGTTTCAGAAACATTTGGGGTCCTTAAAAATGTTTCAGGGGCTAGGAGTGGTGGCTCATGCCTGTAATCCCAGCACTTTGGATCATTTGAGGTCACAAGTTCAAGACCAGCCTGGCCAACATAGTGAAATCCCGTCTCTACTAAAAATACAAAAATTTTTAGTGCGGTGTGGTGCTGCACGCCTGTAGTTTCAGCTGCTTGGGAGGCTGAGGCAGGAGAATTGCTTGAACCCAGGAGGCGGAGGCTGCAGTGAGCCGAGATGGTGCCATTGCACTCCAGCCGGGACAACAGTGTGAGAGTCAGTCTCAAAAAAAGAAAGAAAAAAGAAAAGTTCCAGGGACTGGTCTGAAAGCAGTGGTTTATCTCGCCTTTTCAGTAAGTTACAGATCCAATTCCTTGTTCTACTCTTTCCTCGCTGCTCACTACTGCCCTTGTCGTCAAGAAAAAAAAAAAAAAAAGAAAGTTCCAGGCACTGTGCTGGGAACTGCACACGACATAAACTGGACCAGCCTCAGCCCTCAGGGTGGCGAGGGCACCGCGGGGAGGAGCAGGAACCCAGGCGCCGCCCAGGAGGCCAGAGGCTGAGCCCTGCGGGCCGGGGACAGGCCGCTTCCCGTGCAGTTTCAGAAGCTGCTGTGTGCGGTCTGGAGAGAGGCTTCTGAGGCCTGACCACTGGCTTCGGCCGCCGGGTGAGAGCAGCATCAGTGTGACAGTGAGGACAGCGGCCCGCTGAAGCCGGCCTGGGACGGGGGAGAGTGGAGCACGTGAGCACTGCCAGCTCTGTCAGGAGACTGGGCTGCGGGAGAGCAGCGTGGAGCAGGGGGAGGGGAGGCTGGCGATGTTAAGTGAGGGTTTTGCTTTGCTTTTAAGATGAGAGACAGGAGCATGTGTAAATGGTGATGAAAATGAATGGTGCCAGGAGCAGTGGCTCACGCCTGTAATCCCAGCACTTAGGGAGGCCGAGGCGGGTGGATCACCTGAGGTCAGGAGTTCAAGACCAGCCTGGCCAACGTGGTGAAACCCCGCCTCTACTAAAAATACAAAAAATTAGCCAGGCGTGGTGGCTCATGGCTCATGCCTGTAATCCCAGCACTTTGAGAGGCCGGCCATGGTGTAACTCCAGCTACTCGGGAGGCCAAGATCATGCCACTGCACTCCAGCCTGAGTGACAGAGAGATGCTCTGTCAAAAAAAAAAGAAGAAAAGAAAGAAAGAAAAGAAAAGAAGGAAAGAAAAAGAAAGAAAGAACGAGAAAGAAAGAAAGAGAGAGAGAGAGAAAGAGAGAGAGAAAGAAAGAAATTGAATGGTATTAATAGTAGCGACATCTGGAGCAGTCACTTGTACCAGCTGCTACTCTGTGTCTTGAACTCACCCATGCTGCCCATTTTACAGATGGGGAAAGTGGATGCCTAGGTGGCCAAGCAATATTCCCAGGATCTCCCTGCTGGTATGCTGTGGAGTTGTGATGTGAACATGTGTGAACTAGATCCAGAGACCTTGCTATCAACCACAGGCGGAGTTGCAACCCGGGGATGGAGGAAGAAGGGAATGAGATTTGGGGCATGTGAAAAAGGCCTGAGGTGGGTGCTGCGGGCCGCAGGAAGGAGCCCCGCCTGGTGAATCGCAGGCCACGTTAAGGTCCCTGGAGGCTGGAGAGCCTGGGGACCTGTAGTCTTAGCTACTTGGGAGGCTGAGGTGGGAGGATCACTTGAATCTGGGAGGTGGAGGTTGCAGTGAGCCAAGATCGAGCCACTGCACTCCATCCTGGGTGACAGAGTGACATTCCGTCTCAAACGAACAAACAAAAAAACCACATTCAATTACCATATGACCCCTTTAAGTATTTACCCCAAAGAAATGAAAACTTACGTTCACATGCCTGTACACCAGTGTTTATAGCAGCTTTATTTATTATAATCTCCCAAACTAGAAATAACACAAACATCTTCAGTTGGTAAATGGATAATCTATTGAACATCCACACAATGCAATACCGTACAGCAATCAAAAGGAATAAACGACTGATATGAGCAACAACGTGAATGAATCTCGAATGTATGTGCTGAGTGAAAGAAGCCAGACTCACAAGCCAACAATTCCATTTATTCTGGAAAAGGAAAAATGATAAGGACAGAAGACAGATCAGTGGTTGCCAAGAGCTGCAGGTAGGGGGAGAAATCGACTACAAAAGACCATGATCTCTGATTTTCTGGGGTGATGGACCTGTCCTAAATATTGATTACGGTGGTGATCTCTGATTTTCTGGGGTGATGGACCTGTCCTAAATATCTGATTACGGTGATCATCGATTTGTCTGGGGTGATGGACCTGTCCTAAATATTGATTACGGTGGTGATCTCTGATTTTCTGGGGTGATGGACCTGTCCTAAATATTGATTATGGTGGTGGCTGCAGGACTGTATCCATTTGTCAGAACTCATAGCTGTACACTAGAAAAGGGTATTACATAGGTAGATTATTGTTCAATAAAATACTTTTTGTTTTGGTTTGGTTTTTGTTCATTTGTTTGTTTGTTTGTTTTGAGACAGAGTCTGGTTCTGTCTCCCAGGCTAGAGTGCAGTGGCATAATCTCAGCTCACTGCAACTTCTGCCTCCCGGGTTCAAGAGATTCTCTGCCTCAGCCTCCAAGTAGGTGGGATTACAGGCACAAGCCACCACGCCCGCCTAATTTTTGCATTTTTTGTAGAGACGGTTTCGCCATGTTGGCCAGGCTGGTCTCGAACTCCTGGCCTGGCCTCAAGTGATCCACCCACCTTGGCCTCCCAAAGTACTGGGATTGCAGGTATGAGCCACGCACCCGTCCAATAAACTTGGCTTTTAAGAAATCCTACCCTGGCTCTTGTACCATGATTTCATCATCAAGCCTAAATTCACCTGACTTTCTGGGGGGTTTTTGTTTGTTTGTTTTTGTTTTTTTTGAGACGGTCTCGATCTGTCACGTAGGCTGGAGTGCAATAGCACAATCTCGGCTCACTGCAACTTCTGCTTCCCAGGTTCAAGCGATTCTTGTGCCTCAGCCCCCTGAGTAGCTGGGACTACAGGCGTGCCCCACCACACCTGGCTAATGTTTGTATTTTTAGTGGAGACAGGGTTTCGCCATGTTGGCCAGGCTGGTCTCGAACTCCCAACCTCAGGTCATCTGCCCACCTCGGCCTACCAAAGTGTTGGGATTACAGGCATAAGCCACCGCACCCAGCCTGGGCATTTTTTTTTTAAGACAGGGTCTTGCTCTATTGCCCAGGCTAGAGTGCAGCGGTGCAATCACAGCTCGCTGACTGCAGCCCCCATCTCCTGGGCTCAAGCCATCCTCCCACTTCAGCCTCTGGAGTAGCTGGGACTATAGGCATGTGCCATCACGCCTGGATAATTTTAAAATTTTTTGTAGAGATGAAGTTTCGTTATGTTGCCCAGGCTGGTTTCAAACTCCTGGGTTCAAGTGATCCTCCTGCCTCAGCCTCCCAAAGCGCTGGGATTACAGACATGAGCCACGGGGCCCAGCCTGGACCTTTCTAATGGGGCCAAAGGAAGCAGTTGACTCGGTTGCCCACACCACCTTCTGCCCAATTAGAATTGTTTCCTCTCCATCCTACCAACGTTCCACAGACTTCAGGCTTCCCTGAGTTTTTGCAAAGGTGTGCCCCTCACCTGCAATGCCCTCCGCTCTGTCTTCTGTCTCTCCCGAACCCCTAAGCTGCACGTCCTACCCTACCATGGGGTCCTCCCCGAACCCTCAGTGCCTGAGTCTGCGCCACACAGCTCAGGACCGGCCCCCTCTCCGAGTGTTCGTGGGCCTCTGGTGGGTGTTACTCCCATTTCAGGTTCCTCATCAACACAGTGTGGAACGTAGCCTCACTCACCTCTATTCCCATCGCTCAAAGAATCCAAACCGCCTAGCACACAGCAGGCTCCCAGGAGGGACAATGACCACCGAGCTCCCGGAGGAGGCGAGATTGGAGCCTCTTAAGAGCTGGGTCTAGAGAGACCTAACGAGGCGCCATCGGGGGTGGGGGTCGAGCTACCAGGCCAAGGGCAGTGGAGAAAGCGCGGGAAGCGCGGAGGTCCCGGAGGTGCCAGCTGACTCCCCACGGCCCCGCGTACCTTGACCTTGTAGGTGCGGTCGGCCGAGCTCACGGACACGGCCTGGGTCAGCAGCAGGACGGACAGCGGCACCAGGAAGCCCGCGGCGGGCACAGCCACCACGATGCTGCCCGGGTTAAGGATCGGAGCTGCGGGAACCCCACGCCTGGCCCCGCCCCTCGAGCCCGACTCCGCCCCGAGCCCCGCCCCGCCCCCGGACGCCCACCCACCCACCCAGTCCCCCGGTTCCACCCTCGTCCCGCCCACCCCGCGAAAGCCCGACTCCGCCCCGCTGGCCCCGCCCCTCCAGATCCGCGGTCCGCCTTGAGCACCCGCCCATGACCCCGCCAGATTCCTTTTTCTTTCTCTTTTCTTTTCTTCTTTTGAGGCACAATCACAGCTCACTGCAGCCTCGACCTCCCTCCCCGGTTCAAGCGATCCTCCCGCCTCGGCCTCCCGAGCAGCCGGGACTATAGGCACGTGCCACCACGCTCGGCTACTTTTTCTGTTTGTTTGTAGAGACGGGGTCGGCGTCGCCCAGGCTGGTCTGGGACACGGGCTGACGCGATCCTCCCGCCTCGGCCTCCCGAGCAGCCGGGACTATAGGCACGTGCCACCACGCTCGGCTACTTTTTCTGTTTGTTTGTAGAGACGGGGTCTGCGTCGCCCAGGCTGGTCTGGGACACGGGCTGACGCGATCCTCCCGCCTCGGCCTCCCAAGGTGCCGGAACTACAGGCGTGAGCCGCCGCGCCCCACCCGCTGGAGGCTTAACGCCCCGCCCCTTCTCCTAGCCCCGCCCATCCCCGGCCCCACCCACCTCACCTCGTCCCGGACTGGTCCTCCCAGGCGGCTTCTCCCTCTGGCCCCGCCCCCATAGCCCCGCCCCCATAGCCCCGCCCTCCTTGGCTGTCCCCGCCTCCTCCCTCTCCTTCCCCACGTGGGCGGATACGCGACGGCCTTGTCCGTGGAGAAGGGTAGGTGGGTCGTGCGCACCAGGAAGATGAGACAGGTGACCAGCAGGGCGCCTGAGTAGAGGCACAGGGACAGAACGAGCAGCATGAAGAAGCGGAAGTTGCGGTGACCGATGCAGTTGTTGACCCACTTGCAGTGGTGGTCAAAGTCCTGGGCGACAGGGAGAGGGCCAGGCTTGAGGACTTCCCCTCCGGCCCAAGTTCCATCACCCCAAATCCCGAGGCCTTCCCCCTGCCCTCTAGGCCACCTGCCCTTGGCCCATGCACTGGCTTCCACCTGCAGGGAGAAACTGGGCCACAGAATGCCTCGTGCTGGCATTTCCCTCCTTAGAGCACAGTTGGGTCTCTGTGGTAGAAAGGTCACCTGTCGGAAGACCTTTAGAGAAAAGGCTGGCCTGGCCTTCTGTGAGACGCACCCTGCTGGAACTTTGGGCAGAACGGAAACCAGCTCTGGGCCTCCACTTTCTCATCCATTCGATGAAGATGACAGTAACACCCTGGCCCAGCCAGCCTCCTGCACTTGGAAACCTGTGCAGGCCGTGCTCACGAGGGGGACGGTCACTCAGAGCCAGGAGACCCTCCACCTTGGACACCCAGGCGAGGACAGGCAAGGCCTTCCAGACCAGGCGGGCAGCCAGCCTGAGGGGCTTGGGTATCTCATGTTAGCAAGCCCAGGGGAGGGACAGAGGGCTGCCTCTCCTCCCCTGGCCTGACCCAGCCCAGGACAGATGTGGATGCCTGTACATGTCAGCACCTCTGCAGGCAATGGGCAGCCTCCCAGGACAGGTGCAGGCAGGAAGCACATGAGTGACCAAGGGTGGCTGGGAGGTACTGTCACCCTTGGCCTTTAGCGGTCCTGAAAGGCAGCTTCACGCCCAGCCCCAGCCCCTGTATGAGGGAGGCTCCTGGTCCCAGCCAGATGTGGGGCGACGGCTGGTGGACAGGTAGAGGGGCTCTCACCTCCACACAGATGTTGCACCAGGGGCAGTGGTAGGTCCGGGGCGGGCGGTGGAAGCAGCACTGTGGGCACCACTGCAGGCGGAAGGCCCCGTGGTTCACCCACACCACGTGCACTGTCAAGGGGCCCTGCTCAGCGGAACCTGGCGTGGGAAGAGGATGGGGCACAGCAGAAGGTGCTGCGGTCACTCCGAGGCATCACGGGGCACGAGGAAGGGTGGGGACGAGGTGGGCAGGGGAACCCCTGCCCCTGAGCAAGCTGTCCAAGCTCAGAGAGGATGGCAAAGGGAAGACGGGTTTCCAGCCAGGAGAGTTTTGTATGAAACTCAGGCGTTTGGAACAGTGAGTGCTGCTCTAAGTGGCATTGGTAGTGAAGGGAGGAAGTACAAACAGTGGTTTGGAAGAGCCCACTGACTTCTGGCCCTGGCCTGCCCAGTCCTCGCATCTGAGGCAACTGGGAAAACGCAACAATTCTCTTTTTCTACACCGTGGTGGCCTAAGAAGTGAGGTAGGGCCAGGCACAGTGGCTCACACCTGTAATCCCAGCACTTTGGGAGGCCGAGGTGGGCTGTTCACGAGGTCAGGAGTTTGAGACCAGCCTGGCCAATATGGTGAAACCCCCGTCTCTACTAAAATTACAAAAAATTAGCTGGGCGTGGTAGCATGCTCCTGTAATCCCAGACTACTTCGGTGAGCTGAGGCAGAAAGAATCCGCTTGAACCTGGAGAAGGCAGAGGTTTGCAGTGAGCTGAGATTCGCGCCACTTGCACTCCAGCCTGGGCAGCAGAGGCGAGACTCTGACTCAAAAAAAAAAAAGAAAGGAAAAGACAGAAAGAGAAAGAGAAAGGAAAGAAGGGAAGGGAAGGGAAGGGAAGAGAAGGAGCTAGGGCCACAGTAATGAAGACGTGGGGTGAAGGGGTCCAGAGGCTGGAGGAGGGGCAGTAGGAAGAGCAGTTTAGGAATCCCCTGCAGGTTCCCAGCCCTTGGGGTGCCACCTCCTTTTCCCAGGGGGCTGATGCCTCACCTTGATGTAAGATGCCAGGGTCTGAGAAGTTGAGTGAAACGAGACTGAAGAAGGTGAGAGCAAAGAGGGGGCCTGTGATGACGGGAAAGACCCACTCCCCGTTCTGAGCCAGCCACCTGCAACTGAGACCAGAGGCAGGCTCGGTCCCGAGCGGAGGCAGCCCAAAGCCCCCCACCCAGGGCCTGGCTTACTCAGGTCAGGACCCACAGACCTTAAAGCCAGATCTAAAAATCCAGGCTCCAAATACCCAGGCAGACTCATAATGGCTCCACCAAATGTCACCAGCACGACCAGCCACCCAAAGCTCCCAAAATGCACAGGCACCCTTGACCTCTGTGCCTTAGCACATCGGTTCCCTAGACCAGAATATCCCCCTTTCCCTGATTCTCCCCCACCGTCTTCTGCACTCCCCTGCCTCCATCCTATCATATTCTGTTTCCCTGGCTGTCTCTTTGTAGGAAACCTAACGCCTTGCCTGGGAAACTCACGGGAATGCGAAGAAGAGGCCACTGAAAAAGACCAGCAGCACCACATTGAAGGCAGCAAACAGGCTGGAGAGGACCCAGGGACGTGGGACCAGAGGCAGGGGATAGAGCTCCTTCACCTGGGGCGTGGCATCCATTAAGAGTGTCATGGTTGGGCCTCCTGCGCCTCCAGGGGAGGTCAGAGCCACCAGGCTTCCTCCCCTAGCCCAGCTTCCAGAGCTCCATGGCCACAGCGGCCTCAGAGCCACAGCCCAGGATGAAAGGAAAGAAGCTCCAGTGTGACATCACAGAGGCTGGGGGCCTTCAGCAGAACTGTCTGCAGTTTTCTGTGGCTGCCTGCGGTGACAGGCACTTCCAACAGCAAACCCCACCCCTACACGTGCTGGGGAACCGAGAGGCCCTGCCCCTGACAGGCTGATGTTGTTGGAGAAAATGTGACCTTAGAGAAACACATAGGAAGAAAGTTGGTCATTTTCAACCGGGCGTTGTAATCCTTGTAATCCCAGCACTTTGGGAGGCCGAGGCGGGTGGATCACTTGAGGTCAGGAGTTCGAGACCAGCCTGGCCAACATGGTGAAACTCCGTCTCTACTAAAAATAGAAAACTAGCCAGGAGTGGTGATGCCCGCCTGTAGTCCCAGCTACTCGGGAGGCTGAGGCAGGAGAATCACTTGAATCTGGAAGGTGGACGTTGCAGCGAGCCAAGATCGTGCCATTGCACTCCAGCTTGGGCGACAGAGTCAACTCCATCTCAAATAAAAAAAAAAGAAAGAAAAGAAAGAAAGAAAGTTGCTAGGTTTTTTTGTTGGGTTCTTTTTTGTTTGTTTTGTTTTGAGTTTTTTTGAGACAGAGTTTCACTCTTGTTGCCCAGGCTGGAGTGCAGTGGCGCGATCTCCGCTCACTGCAACCTCTGCCTCCTGTGTTCAAGCGATTCTCCTGCCTCAGCCTCCCAAGTAGCTGGGACTATAGGCATGCGCCACCATGCCTGGCTAATTTTGTATTTTGTGGTAGAGACGGGGTTTTGTCATGTTGGTCAGGCTGGTCTCGAACTCCTGACCTCAGGTGATCCACCCGCCTCGGCCTCCCAAAGTGCTGGGATTACAGGCGTGAGCCATATCAAACTTCTTTTATAAAAGGCCTCAAAAAGAAGAAACTGAGGCAGACATTTAAAAATAAATAGGCATTCATTCACTCCAAGAAAAATAAGCAAGGCGAAAGTTCAAAAGAAAACGAGTTTTCCTCTGCCTAGCACGCTCACTTCAAGCACAGTTATAAGAGAACGCTGTCCAGAAAGCCAAGGCCGAAAGAATATGCTCCAGACACCCGTCCCCTCCAGACCAAAGCTGAAGAAGAAAAAAGAAAGACAAATTCTTTTACTGTTACTCCTTTCCCAGGTTTCTTAAGCATGATTATGTTTTACAAATGTCTGTATTTAGCCAGTTCTTGTTTTTCTTTCAGTGCAGCTACAAAGCCACCGGCTATGCAAGGCCACAAGTGATGCTATAGATTATGTGACCTATCATATGATTAACCACCTTTATTTTATTTATTGTAAGTCTGCTTGTAAAATCCCTGCTCTGTCTTTGTTTAACGTTCAGCTTCTTAGATGCGAATCCACTAAGCCAGTGAGTACCTAAAATAAACAATCCTCTTGTTCTCCATATCAGCCTTACCAGTCCTCAGTTTCCTGCAACATCTCTACTAAAAATACAAAAATTAGCCAGGCGAGCTGGCAGGCACCTGTAATCCCAGCTACTCGGGAGGCTGAGGCACGAGAATCGCTTGAACCTGGGAGGTGGAGGTTGCAGTGAGCCCAGATCTCACCATTGCACTCCAGCCTAGGAAACAAGAGCGAAACTCCGTCTCAAAAACACAAAAAAAGAAAAGAAAAGATTATGCGAAATGGAAGAAGCTCAACACGAAAAGCCACATATTGTTCCACTTACATGAAATATCCAGAGTCGCCAAATCCATAGAGATCAAAAGCAGATTTGCAGTTGCCAGGGTGTGGGAGGAGGGGGAACTGGAAGATACGAGGGTGGTTGGTTGTTGTTGTTGTCTTGAGACTGAGTCTCACTCTGTCACCCAGGCTGGAGTGCAATGGTACCATCTTAGCTCACTGCAACCTCTGCCTCCCGGGTTCAAGCAATTCTCTTGCCTCAGCCTCCTGAGTAACTGGGATTACAGGCACCCGCCACCATGCCCGGCTAATTTTTTTTTTTTTTTTTTTGTATTTTTAGTAGAGATGGGGTTTTGCCAGATTGGCCAGCCTGGTCTCGAACTCCTGACCTCAGGTGATCCACCCACCTCAGCCTCCCAAAGTGCTGGGATTACAGGTGTGAGCCACTGCACCCAGCCTCTTTTTTGATTTTTCAAAACTGACCCTCACATTAAGGAAACCAAAACTTAAGTGATAACTGAAGTGAGCCTGTTACTGACCACAGGTTCTTTAGGTTCCAATAAAAATTGGCACGAGGCCAAGCAAATTTCCCAGACGAGGCTTTATTAGGGGCTTTCCTTCCACCACGGGGGAGACAGCACTGCAGGGAGAGTTCTCCGGCTGGCCCCCCAGAGGAGCACATTGTGGTGTCTTGGGCCTGAGGAGGGCGACATGGGTCATTCAGGAGGTAGGTGAGCGTTCCTGCAGGAGTGGCGTGCAGAACGCACAGGGATAAGGAGTCGCGGTAACACGTACATCGCAGGATCAGAACACGACGAGCAAGCCTCTCCCTGGCAGAGGCTTTTGTTTTTGTTTTTGTTTTTGTTTTTTTTCTGTCGCCCAGGCTGGAGTCCAGTGGCACCATCTCGGCTCACTGCAACCTCCGCCTCCCAGGTTCAAGCGATTCTCCTGCCTCAGCCTCCCGAGTAGCTGGGATTACAGGCACCCACCACCACACCCGGCTAATGTTTGCATTTTTAGTATATACGGAGTTTCACCTTGTTGGCCAGGCTGGTCTCAAATGCCTGACCTCAGGTGATCCGTCTGCTTCGGCCTCCCAAAGTGCTGAGATTACAGGTGTGAGCTCCCACGCCGGGACAGAGATTTTGGTCTTGTAATGAGGCCAAGGGTAAAAATGGTCGTTCTTCTGGTTTTGTGCACACAGAGGCAATGGGGTTCACTCCCTGAAGCATAAGATTTAAAGCGGGATGCTGCCTGTCTGCATTTTTTCAAGGTCCTGTGATCAGTGGATACGGCATTTTGCAAAAGATTTATAGTGAAATGCTGCTTATCTTAATTTTTTCACTGTCCTGTGATGAGCAGGTAAGAAAAAAAAGAAGAAAGAAAAAGGGTAGGGGGAGGAACGCACTAGTGGGGTTGGGAGCCAAGTCCGTCCTCTGTCTCAGTAAGCGTCAGATGATGCTCTCATATAATTTCATGGGGAAAAAAATAGGCCAAAGAAGGGGAAATCAGAAGGATTTATTCTTCATGGTTCTAAAAAATCAGTTTCTGACAGCTGGCAGGTCTCAACTGCCAAGAGAAGACCCTGGCGCCACAGCTCGTCCTCTCTGACCAAGCCTTAGCTGGGGACGGGCCGGCCTCCAGGCAGGGCCTCCCACTGGTTGGATCCCGGGCCACACTGTACAGAAGACAGCCCCCTGGAGACCTTGGGTGGGGCAGAAGCCCCCTCCCCTCACGGACGCCCTGCCGGTCTCTCCTGGGGTGCCCGGCGGGGAAGCACCAGTCTCAGTCCAACCTCCGTCCCTCTGGCTCCCTCCTGCCCTTCCACCTTTCCCGCCATTCCCCACTGTGTCCTGAAGCTGAAGTTTCTAAGAACATCCCCAGCGCCCTGTTGTCAGCTCTGGGAAGTCTAAAGTTCAGGGCTTTGGGTAATTAAACCCAAGGCCTCCAGTGGGCTCAGGGTAAATGACCTGGCGAACGTTCCTGGAGAGATGCTGGGAGGAAGCTGAGTCAGTCCGCGTCTTTGTCAGGGTGGGGCTGAGGCCAGTGACCCTCTGGGGGTCAGGGACCTTGGCGGCCTCTTCCTTCCCTGACCTCCACCTTAGAGGCGGCTGGCCCCTGAGACGCCAGCCTCACGACATTGTCCTGTCCCAGGAACTGGACTTTGGGAGGAGGGGAAACTGGAGGAGGACCCAGCTTGACTCTTGGGGGAGACTTTGAGGCGTTTGGGGACAGGAGTGGGGAGTCCTCCAGGTACCCCATCAGGGACCGCTTCCCTGCTTGTATGGCCTCACCAGCCTGGCACAGGGAGCCCCTTCTCCCTTCCCAGAATTGACACTCTGCACCCTCCTCTGGGCCCTCTTCTCACTTCCTACCATCTCCACCTTCCTAGGGCCCCAACACAGCCCCTCCCCCAGACCCTTCTGGCCGCTCTCCACACCCCATGGCTTTCTGTCCACCCTGGTTTCTTAACCTCTCTGGACCTCAGCCTCCTTATCTGTAAAATGGGAATAAGGATACTACTTCCCTTGTAGTGCAGTGGTAAAGTCTAAATGAGCGAAGCCCCCTGGCACCCCAGACATGCTGACGGATGCTGGCTGCTGCTGCTCTGGGTTTATGCTTTCATCAACTATGCAACCAAATTCTTCTTTTTTTTTTTTTTTTTGAGACGGAGTCTCGCTCTGTCGCCCAGGCTGGAGTGCAGTGACTGGATCTCAGCTCACTGCAAGCTCCGCCTCCCGGGTTCATGCCATTCTCCTGCCTCAGCCTCCCGAGTAGCTGGGACTACAGGCACCGCCGCCTCGCCCGGCTAGTTTTTTGTATTTTTTAGTAGAGACGGGGTTTCACCGTGTTAGCCAGGATGGTCTCGATCTCCTGACCTCGTGATCCGCCCGTCTCGGCCTCCCAAAGTGCTGGGATTACAGGCTTGAGCCACCGCGCCCGGCCGCAACCAAATTCTAAGGAACCCTTTGTATGTGTCAGCTTCCGTGCCAGGAACCTAGAGGTACCAGCGTACCACAGTACAAGATGCTGTGTCTGCCTTCAAAGAGATTTCAATCTGTTTGGAGAGAGAGAAGAGGGAAGCTATCAACCAATAAAATTGTTTGCAAGCCTATAATTCAGCAGGTTTTCAAGACCTGTCAAAATGCCCAGCAATCGCACTCTGCAACTCTGACTCCCAGGCACAGCCTCCCCTCGGCTGCATCTCCCGGCCCCGCGTGCGGCTGGCTGAGCCCGTCGTCCCGATGTGATGACCTGGGGTCTGGGAACCCACACCGGCCTCATCTGGCTTTTCCAGCCTGTCCTCCCTCCGCACATCAGGCGGACGGCGCCAAACACAGCCGAGGACTCAGCCTGGTCTCCCCACTGCGGAGCCGGAGCCTGGGTTCCAGCAGGTTCTTCAGGGGCATCTGACCGGGGAGCACTGCGGGGAGGAGTCAGGACTTCGTCCCCGCCCCCACCCAGGGCAGGAGCTTTGGGGCGAGCCCACCCCACCCCAGAACGGTCCTGGAAGGGCAGGGCGGACTCCACAAAACTCCTATGGGATGGGCCGGGCCGCGGGCAAGGGGTGGCCAAAGGCGCCTGTCCAGGAGGTGGGAGGGACCAGCCTGGGGGCAGGGATGAGTCAGGCACAGGGAACCTCGCCAGCCTCGAGGATCAAATTCCTCCAGGGTGAACTCTGAGATAGCAAAGGTGGCCCAGGAAGCTCAAGGAGGGACAGCGGCAGAGGGGAAGACTCTGGAACTCCGCTGGCCCCCGCCCGGCCCCGGGCCCACACCTGCCGCCCCGCCTGCCCGTCTCCCCCGCGGTGCCCGCGGGATTGCTGGAGAGAAAGCGGCATGGAGCCGTGCAGGACCCAGATAAAGCTTGACCCCAGGTAAGTGAGGGCGGCGGGCCCCGGGCCAGTTGCTAAGCAGCGGCGGCGCCTGTCCCCCTCCTGTCCTCTCTCCCTCCCAGAGCCCTTTGGCTGCCGCACTCAGAATGAGACAGGACTGAAAATGGTCTGGCTGTTCCTAGGTCCTCAGGGACAACGTGGGTTTGGGCCAGGGGGTGACACTTCAGGGCCTTGGCCTTGCCCCCCACCGTGGGGAGAGAACGATCCCAGAGCAGGGGCTGTGGAAGGCATTCCCAGAGGAAGTGGCAGCCCCCTCAGCAGCAGGGGCCGTCCCTCTGCAAGCACTCACGCTGCCTCTGGCATCCTGCTCTTCCTCTCCGGTCAGTGCTCAGTCCCTGGGCTGCAGCCCGACCAGCATGGAGAGAATCCACGGTGCGCTCTTCAGGCACTGCAGCCAGGCACGCCCCAGCTGGGTGGCAGCTTGTCTTACTCCCCTGCCTGGGCCAGTTCTCCACTCCCTCTAAGAAAAGGCCCTGAGGCCGCGCACCTGTAATCCCAGCACTTTGGGAGGCTGAGGCAGGAGTCCAGGAGTTCAAGCCCAGTTCCAGTTTGAGTCCAGGAGTTCGAGACTAGTGTCTGAGCAACATGGCGAAATCCTGTCTCTACCAAAAATATACAAAATTAGTTGGGTGTGGTGGCGTGCGCCTGTAGTCCCAGCTTCCTCCGTGGGGACGGGGGCTGAATAGATCACTTGAGCCCGGGAGGTCAAGGCTGCTTGTGTGAGCCAAGACACCACTGCACTCCAGCCTGGGCAACAGAGCAAGACCCTGTCTCAAAAAGAAAAAAAAAGAAAGGAAGGAAGGAAGGAAGGAAAGGAGGGAGGGAGGGAGGGAGGGAAGAGAGAGAGAGAAAGAGACCTTGAGGGCAACAGACAAAGTCCTGCACTCAGGAGTGGTTGAGGGTCCAGCATGCACCCCTCCCCCTTCCCCCAGCCCCCACGGTTCTGAGCACAGGCTG